GAGAGAGAGGAGAGAGAGAGAGAGAGAGAGAGAGAGAGAGATAGAGAGAGAGAGAGAGAGAGAGAGAGAGAAGAGAGAGGAGAGAGAGAGAGAGAGGAAGAGAGAGAGAGAGAGAGAGAGAGAGAGAGAGGTAGAGAGAGAGAGAGAGAGAGGAGAGAGAAGAGAGAGAGAGAGGAGAGAGAGAGCGAGAGAGGAGAGAGAGGAGAGAGAGTAGAGAGAGGAGAGAGAGAGAGAGGAGAGAGAGAGAGAGAGAGAGAGAGAGAGAGAGAGAGGAGAGAGAGGAGAGAGAGAGAGAGAGAGAGAGAGAGAGAGAGAGAGAGAGAGAGAGAGAGAGAGAGAGAGAGAGAGAGAGAGAGAGAGAGAGAGAGAGAGAGAGAGAGAGAGAGAGAGAGAGAGAGAGAATGAGAGAGAGAGAGAGAGAGAGAGAGAGAGAGAGAGAGAGAGAGAGAGAGAGGAGAGAGAGAGAGAGAGAGAGGAGAGAGAGAGAGAGAGAGAGAGAGAAGAGAGAAGAGAGAGAGAGAGAGAGAGAGAGAGGAGAGGAGGAGAGAGAGAGAGAGAGAAGAGAGAGAGAGAGAGAGAGAGAGGGAGAGAAGAGAGAGAGAGGAGAAGAGAGAGAGAGGAGAGAGAGAGAGAGAGAGAGAGAAGAAGAGAGAAGAGCGGACGAGAAGAGAGAGAGGAAGAGAGAGAGAGAGAGAGGGAGAGAAGGAGAGAGAGAGAGAGAGAGGACGAGAGAGAGCGAGATGAGGAGAGAGAGAAGAGAGAGAGATGAGAGAGAAGAGAGAGTAGAGAGAGAGAGAGAGAGGAGAGGGAGGAGAGAAAGAGAAGAGAGCATTAAGCACGAACAAGAAACAAACATGCAAAGGATATTTTTATATACTAGATATTTTCCCCCGTGTGGGGTTGCTGGTCCCCCAACGGGCGCCCCCCTCCCCGGGTGCGTATAGGGTGATGCCCGACCAGACTTGTCTGGTGGGAACTGGAGAAATTAAAGACCCGGGGTGGACCAAAACCAGCGAAGACGGAGAAGATGACATCAACAGCTCAGAAGACGAAAAAGATGCTCAAAAGGTCTCCAACGGCAGAAGAGGCGGATGACTTAAATACCTCTCTTCTCTCAAAAAACTGCTACCTTGCAGAACATGATGGCTCGTCGAAGGTTAGAGAAAGGAACCCTCGAGAAAAATTCCCTGGTCCTCCAAGTTGGGAGTTGAGATGTTGGGCCTGAATATCTTCGCTCAGAAAAAGACTAAATATGCACGAGTCCCAAGCAATAAGCCTTGGAGTCGCGGTAGTTTTTGACGACTTGGCCTTCGAAATAGGTTTATGAATTTTGTAACTTGGAATGTACCAGGCATAGCCACGAAGGAATCCAAAGTGTTAAAAGAATTGGACAGGTTAAATTTATATGTTGCTGCCCTATCTGAAACTAAAAAGGAAGAGATGGGTTTGGAAGAGACTCAAAATTACGTGTACATATACAGCGGAGTAAATAAAGAAAGCAGAGTATAGAAAGGAGTATCCATTGCCATGCGCAAATAATTGAAACATCACATAAACTAACGGTGCTACAGAATGTCACAGACTTTTCCGTATTATATTTATATTTCCTTTGGTCTCGGCTAGCTATACGAACTTGCCATACATTCTTGCCAGCTTCCATCTATCGCCGCCCAAAGTACCTCTTTGGATTTCTCGTTTTTTTCGGTTTGCTAATAGTACAGCGGAAATATTATTTTAAAAATATTAACGAGCAGTAAAACCACGTCTAATATGGCAATTTTTTTGAAAAATTTGGAGCCGTGTTAAAGAAAATTGTATTTAAGCGCTACTTGGATATGAAACTTGAACTTCTTTTCACAGAAAACTACTGGGTTTTCGAAAAACGTCATACGAAGTCATTTCAAGCACTTCCAGTCACAAATAAAATAGTTTTTACAAATCACTGGAACTATGCATATTAAAGGCGTCAGAGATTTAAAAAAATTACGTTTGTGTAATTTTTGAAACACAACAGAATACAGTAATATTAATTCTACGTCATCCAAAACATTGCAATTACCACTATCCATTCGAAAACTTTTAAGAAAAAAATTGGAGAAAATTGGATTAAAGTGCTTCTAAAAATGCGGAATTTTGAGCTCATTTTAACAGAAAACTGTAGGATTTTTGAGAATCTTGACACTATTTTATGATTGAACTGACATTATTTACAGCACATGTACTCATTAATACATTAATGTAAACAAATTGCAGCTAATGTAATTATTAATGACGTGAGAGACAAGTGAAATAAATTATTTTTTTCTAATTTTTGTAAAAAACAAATCATAGATCAAGATGGCGTTTATGTCATCTTACAGTCATTTTGTTTTTGTATTTTTTTTAATTGCACAAATTGTACGCAATAATGCGCGACCACTACAAATATTGTCAAAAAAATGTGCATGACCTTAATGAAAGACCTCACTATGAAGAACAAATTTTATTTGAAGGAAAAATCTCTATCTTCAATTTTGTAGTTGTAGGAAGACACCGAAAAAATTCATACTTTTCAAATTTTCGAAAATTCAGAGCTAACCGTTAAAATTAAACCTATACCACTTTATATGTGTATGTTACTTCATTCTTACAATAAATTTAAAAGCAAAAATTTGGAGCTGCTTTTGAGAAAATTTTGAAAATGTCAAGAGGGCTTCATGTAAAGTACCCCCAAATTTTAAAGAATCATTTCAAAAATCTCAAAGCTTGGACTCGAGCCAGATGGTCAGGGGTTTCTTCCCAAAACGTTTTCCGTTAAAATCTCGAAATCAATTTTCCGCAGCATTACATAACTTTCCCTATATTTACTCCGTAAATATGCAAGTATACGGAAAAGTAAAAATGGGGTGGTATTAATTAAAACCTACGTCGTATGGTCGTATTACCGCCTATGCGCCATCGGACAGTGCACTGATACCGATAAAATAGAATTTTTTACCAACTTGACAAACCCTCTGGACAAAATTGGAAAAAGAAAGGAAATATGTTTAATGGGCGACCTTAAAGGAAAAGTAGTAAGACAATATGGAAGAAACGTAGTAGGTAAATTTGGAGAAGATGCAAGAAACGGGAATGCGGAAAGACATAGATATGTGCGAACAATATCAATTGAAGGTATGGATTTTTGACGTCACGCGGAGGGCAAACCTATAGTGAAGTGAACGCAGCGTTTATATCCCAATTTTACTGACATCAAACTTTATATATGACATAGTGATGTTAATGTAGATGAACATGTGTTATGAAGTCTATTTTTATTTTAGTATTAAATATATAATTCATATCTACATGGGATTATTTTCTATTTCAAAGAGGAGCTGAAGATATGTACATCCGTAGCCAATGAAGTTTCAAAAACCTTGATGTTTCTCCCCAATCAAAAATTTTAAGAATCTTTTGGAGATCATTCAATTTCCTCAGAAACTTTCTGAAAAAAGTTTTGTAGGGCGTACATTTTGTCTCTCCGAACCTTTGACTTGCAGGCGATAAGGGATAATAGTGTGAACAATCGAAAGGTCTTGTGTTGATGCTGTCAAAAGTTGCTTGATGTCACTATGATTGATTTGTTTTCCGTCATAAAAAATCCATTACAAAGAAAATAATTTCTTAGGAGTTTCAAGAGGTGAGGTGCATTAGGAAAAATGTACACTTTCATATTTTCATTCACGGAATGGGGAAAAAGTATTTACATAAGAGTATAAACCAATCATTCCAAAATCTTATATTATTCGCTCCCATGACACAAGTCAATGCAATAACAATGGAACCTGCATGAAAAACTTTTTCAATTATTTCAAACATAATTGTCATTATAATATCCATACCAAATAGGTTGTCTCGATTGTTCAATCAGTTCCCTTGCCATTACAGTTTGGCACTTGGAATGAGGTCCAACTTTCTTCTTGTCTTTCCTATCTATACATATCATACTTGAAATATAAATTTCATCAAATGAGTGAGAAATACTAATAAATGAAGGGGTGGTAGAATTAATGCCTTCTCTATCATTACTTTTAAAACATCTTCTAGTAGACCTTCCTCCACGTTACAGGATAAAGCCCACTTTCGAAGGCAGGAAATGGATATTTTTTCTCCTTAAATATAAGTATGTATCATTTCTTAGTGAAATTGCTGAGGGGACCAACAAATAACCTTTTGTTGCGGATTAAGTAGCATCTTAATTGACCTCGAGTAAAATTTTTGGATAAAGTGGTACTCAACCTATCCTGTAGGTCTCTCTCCTTAATAGTTTTTAAAGATTAGTTTTTTGTTCTCAATTTCTATTTTCATTTTTTTTATTTTCTATTTCTAAAGCAGAAACTTGATTCTTTAAAATCTGTATATATTTTTGTGTATTATCCTCTTTTACTATGAAAATAATTTGCACTTTCAAATCCTGCCTAAGTTTGCTTGTTTTACTAAGCCTATTTTCATATTTTTTTTATAGTACCGGAAGCAGAAATAAATACTCACGTTTCAGGAATTTCATTATCGCACTCATCTTGGTGGTTAACAGTAAGGCTCTCATCTGAATTGTCTTCTAACATTTCTTTAGAAATTGCATGCATTTTTCTTTTCTGCACCCTCTTATTTCTTTGCACAGATTTGTCTGAATTCTTTACTTCTCTGGGCAACTTTTCTATGGGTATTGCATCCACTTTAAGATTTCTAGATCTTTCAGGATTGTCACCCAATAATTTTTGTTTCTGGGGGACCGAGAAAACCATTTACCTTAAAATGAATTGAACAAATTCGCGCTAGATAATAAAATCAATAATATTAATTTTTGAAATTATTAATTGATTAACACAAATAAATTGTTATTTGCACTATTCGTTCATGTAACAGTTCTACTAATAATATGAAGCAATAGCACTTTACGTCGGTATTGAAAGGAAGACATGCCCCAGAACTGTTTTCTATATTAAACTTATTGCGACTACAGGCAAGAATCCATCTCTCCGTAATGACACCAGGTGGTGGAAAATGACGATATTTCACCTTTTTATTTTTGGTTGCTCTGGAGTAGTTATTACAACCAAAACTCACCCATCCGGACACGGTGAAATCAAACTAATTCGCTTATGCGCGCCACTCACTTCCCCATGGATATAACCTGCCACCCATATGATGCCATGAGCAAACCGGGCGAATTTTCGACGCGAACTCGGCACACCATGCATGTACACTTACGACGTGAAAACAAGCCTTTATAGTTTGTTGACCAACCCTGAGAGTGCAACACTGAAGCAATGAACATAATACTGGTAGCGAAATTTGCCAAATAGTTATAGTAACCCTACATTCTTTCGTAAGTGATAGTAAATGTGGTAGCCACCAATCTCGAGGATATTTCAAAAAATTGTCAATTTCTTGCTAACACGATTCTGTTAATAATGGACAATATCAATATTCTAGCGGAAAGTGTAATCAAAATAGAGCAGGTAAGCTGTGTTATTTGTGGTTAACAGTTAAACCTAGTTTTGTGAATAAATTAAAAAAATATTTTCTAATTATCCACAGATTAAAGAGGAATCGTGTGATTATCAAGAAGAGAGTATCTGGAAATGCACTGTGAGTTGTATTTTAAAACAGTTGTAGCCACATTTGAATTTTTTGGTAATTGAGTGTCATGAACATTGAAAGATCACTACCTAAGAATTGTATTAAACAGAGAAGATCAATAATGATTGACTTCTAATTTAATATTTTTCAAACAGTAGTATCCTTTTTATATTAATGACAGTCAAAACAATTCTTTTTTAGATAGTAAATATTTATTCTCTTGTCTATAAACCACAATGTTTCACGAACCAATTTGTTGCATCTTCAGGTGTATTGTAATACAGATTATTTTTTCAATTATCACAAATGTGTCTTCCTTAAACTATACAATTTAGAATAACATTATAAAATTACAAAATTAATTAAAATTAATAAAGGGAAAAATAAGAAGTTTGATGCAACAAAAACTAATGGTATGAAATTCTGATGGAAGGACATTTTTAAAAAATTCATTCCTTTTGAGTGTTTGTTGCTTCATTCTTCTTACTTTCCACTTGATTATTTTATTTAATTGTAATTTTATATTTTAATTAATTTACTTTGTCTAGAGGAACAAGTAGCAAAAACAATTCATTACGTTATGGCAAACACAACAACAAAATAAATTTGGAAGATGTTCGAGTCTATAGAGGAGCTGAGTGCAACTCAGACCATTATTTGTTGAAATCAAAAGTGTATCTTCATTATGTAAACAAGACACAGCAATTGGAAATTCATGTCCTATCCTGTACCATTGAGAAAAAAGAATACAAAATGTGTTTGCTTAAAGATCCATCTATATCCTTCCTCTACAAGTTCAGGTTGAGTAAGAAACTGTTCGAAGTGAACCAAACAACCACTCTTAACACACTACCATAGAATTATAGATGCAGTACATCAAGCAGCTTATGAGTGCCTCAGAGAAATATAACATACTGGTGGGAAAGGAATATGTGACTCATGGTGGAATAATTCTTTGGGAGGGAAAGTGCTTGACAAGAAAATTGCTTATAATACATGGTTAAGCACCCAAGATATTGAAGACAGAAAACAGTATCGTCAAATTAGTAGCGAAGTTAAACAAGACGTAAGAACAACAAAAAATGAAGCTTGGTAAAGAGTATGTAAAGATCTAGAACCGAATATAGGCAGTGCCAGATCAAAGAACACAAAGAAAATAGTAAAGAACCACAGACAAAATGAAAAGCAAAATTCAGTACTACAACCTATAAGTATAGATCAATTTGAAATATATTGCAAAGAACTTTTAAAAGAAAATATGCTTGCATTTAGTAACAGGTACCAGCTGATACGGAACATATTATAGGGAGAGAGACTGAAAAAACAATATAGAGATTTAAAAATGAAAAAGCAGCCAGTATGGGTTTGGGAAACATTGAATTGGTGAAGAATGGCCCCAGTTTATTACTAGATCTTCTTACCAGATTATACAATAGATGGTTAATGGGGAAGAATTTTCCAAGAACTTCTGGACAGTTAGATCTCTGACATCTACGAGAAAGGTATTAGGAAACAGTGTGCAAACTATAGAGACATAACTGTCATAACACTGAGCAGCATTGGCCGAGGGTATGAGAAAATATTAAAAACCTGACTGGAAAGAGACCTCATTAATGTCGAGGAAAAGAGCGGCTTTCGAGCGGGACGTTAATGTATTGATGACATGTTTAGACTGGTAACCGATGAACGTCTTGCCCATAACTTGAAGAAGCACCTTGTATTTATAGATTTACGTAAGGTCTATGACACTGTTCCATTATCTTGTCTATGGGAGGGGATGGAGAAACAAAATGTAAATAAGCATTGATTAGAGCAGTTAATGATTTGTACAGTGATAATACAAGCCAAATAAAAGTTCAGAGAAATGTTTCAGCACCATTTTCAGTAAATAAAGTTAATTGGCAGGGGTGTTGTGTAGCCCTGAGTATGTTTAAAATATATTTGAATGAAACCCTGAGAAGATAGAGGAAGAAATGTGTCATACTGGTATTAAAATTGGTGACTTACTCTCTCTATACTTCGCTGAAAATGAAGTCGATGCTGTATACATGCAGTGGAAATTATATGAAGAGTACTCAGAATAAGTTTAGAAATAAACCTTAACAAGACTGAGTATATGGTTGTAGGAGGAAGTACCACAGGTCTGAAACTGGATGATGGTTTGAAAGTAAAACCCTGTCAAAAATTCACTTAGCTTGGTGCAGAAACGCAGATGGAGGCAGTACGCTATAAACAATTGCATAATAAACTCTGTGGTCTCCCCAAAAATATTGTAGAACTCCATAATTGTAATGTATTGGGAGGAAAAAGAAATGATCTTCCACAAACAGAATTTTTTAACTAACTATTATTTAACTATTACAATTTTTAACAATAAGCACAAGTTTAAAGTTTTTAGAAAACCTACACAAACTGGCGTAATTATTCCAAATAGTTAAAATCATATTCATCACTGTAAATTAGCTGTTTTCCACTCTTGAGTCCATCGCCTTTTGAAAGTTCCCATGGAAAAATCAGACTATGTAAATGAAATTAACATTATTAAATCCATAGCTGTTCAAAATGACTATGATTCAGATCATAAATAAAATTATCAAACAGAAAGAAAATAAATTTTTCATTGAGAAAGTCCCTGTAACTTCAATTGACAATGACAAAACAATAAATGTCAGCATTCCTTATTTGGGTTCTGTATCCCAAAGGAAAGGTCGTTGCCTCAAAAAACAATACATTCAAGTCTCATGTATGAATAAAGCACCAATAAATTAAAAAACTATTTCCCAACATCAAAGTCACTGTCTCCAAAGTAAAAAGTGGTGTATGTCAAGTTAATTGTAATGACTGCAACTCAGCTTATATTAGACAAACTGGTAGGAAATTCTCTTACAGAATCAAAAAACATTCTCTTGCGGGAGATTACAATAAGATCACCCCACATTGCCTCTCATCTTCTTGTAAACAATTACTCCTTTGACCACAATACAAATTTTAAGATTTTAGGTATGGAAAACAAAGGTCCAAAATTGAACATCTTGAAATCTTAAAACTAGTCAAAAATCCTAAAATAGACAGCCTCAATGACCAAACTAATTTGAAATACAGCCTATAATACTGCTGAAGTACCCAATTACACCACCCTCCCCCAGAGGACAATGCACAAAATGGCACCATGTGAGAAACACCACAAATCATTTTGACCATGTTACTTGGGTAAATAATAATATTTTGTAAGTTTTTTAATAGTGTTTGTGTTCTTTATTAATTTTTCAATTTTATGTTGTACATTTTATAGTTTTCCTTAATATCCTGTTGAAGACACTAAAGATGAGGTAAAATACCTCGATACATGTTTTTCTGGGTAATGCTGTAACTGACGAATAGTTAATAAAGCATTGAAGGCTTTCATGTCACGACCCATCGGCCTGGAAGACATGAATAATATTGACAAATAGTTAGTTAATGTATTCTGTTTGTGGAAGGTCATTTCTTTTCCCTCCCATTGTATTACAAGAATTAAAAAAGGTAGAGTGGCTTATGTCCAATGATGTGGAAAGATAATTTAAGTAAGAATTAAAAAAATAATTCTATGAAATTGTTGTAGAGAATATTGCTCTTTATGGATCTGAAGTAGGGGAAGTAACAAAAAAAAGCAAAATAGAATTGACAGCAATGGAAGTGGACTTCTAGTACCAAAGTTGCGGACTGACTTTAATGGTTAAAGTTAAGAACAAAGAAATTATACGGAAATCGAAAGTCAGTTTTAATATAATTGACACCATAGAAGTGAAAAGACTAAAATGGTATGGGCACATAAAATGAATGAACAAAAAACGTTGGCCAAAAATATTGTAGAAATGGCAACCAGCTACCTATTGAAGAAAAGGAAGACCTTGACTTACACGGAGAGAGGGAGTGGATAAGACAATGGTGAAAAGAGGATTGAATAACAAAGACTACACTGATGTGAAGGCTGGGATGCGAGAGACACCCTAGGGTATAATATAACTTGCCACGCTACTACTATGTTTTAATTAAGAAACATTCATAATTGTTAAAAAGAATCTGTATTACAGTACACCTGAAGATGTGATCAAGTGGGTTAGAAAACTGTGGTTTATAAACAAGAGAATAAACATATGTAACCTAATATTAATGTTTCGATTGTCATTAATATGAGAAGGATACCACTGTATAAAAAATGAAGAATTTTGTGTAAACATTAATATTTTTCAAACAACAAAGAGTAAGATGCGCATTTTTAATGAGCCCTGTGTTTTTTCTAGGAAGATCAAAACAGTCCAGGGCATCGTTTGGTGAAGGTAGAAAACAATACGGAAGATGTGAGTATGGTTTGTTATAGTTATTTTTAAATGTGTTGTTATATCTTTTACTTTCACCAAATGAAGTGAATGATATTACTCTCAGTTAATGTGTACAAATGATATTACACCCAGTTAATTTGCCGATGTTTCAGATTCTGATGTGTAGATAGTTAATGATGACATTAGATTAATTGCGTGATTAAGATCTACTGAACAATTCAGTACCTGAGGGTCAGACTTCACTACTTTAACCATAACTATAATTTTTGCAATTTTTTATTTACAATCTCCACCAGAATCAGGACAAATTTTTGCACCTTAGGATCAGCAAATGTATCACCAGGTATGTCAATATAGAAGTCAGTACATGACATTTCTACAACATTATATGTCTACTAGAGTCACAAGAATGGAATAGGTGTCATATTTGTCTGACTCCAAATATTTTGGAGGTGTAGTTATGTGAGTCTGACCCTAAGTTAGCAAAATGTTAAGGGTAATTATCTTCCTTAAATATGGAAAGAACTGCCAGTATTGATACACAGTGTAAAATAGGGTAAAGGGTTAAGGAAAAGTAAATATAGTTCTTTGTATTGAAAGGTCCCACAATCTCATGACCAGAGCCAGGATGTTTGGCAAAATGCCTTTTTATTAATAATATGATTTTATGACTTTTAACAACAGGGCACACTTAATTGTACTTCTGGAGTTGTTTTAGTAGATTTTCATTTTGCCTTTTTTTTATGCCTATTTTAGTTTCTGATACCTCTTTTTGGCATTGCGTCTTTCTATGCCTTTTTCGTGATTATTTTCCCTTTTGTACCTTCTGCCACCAATCCCTTTCGAGATGGAAACTTACCTACAAGATTAGATAACATAAAGGCAAGGTTGGGCAATGCACTGTTTCTCTGTGAACTCAAAGGCTCCAATTTGTGTTAAAAATCTAAAAGGGAAAGGAAGGTGATGCCAATGAAGATTCTTGATATTGTTCTTTGATGCTGACAGACTTGTTTGCTCACAAGAAATCTCATCCTATGTTTGTGTACAACATTTGACCCCTTATCCCCTTTTGGGGACAGTTGTCTGCACATGATATACCTTTTCAGTTCTCCCTTATTCTCTCATCCCCTCTGGCGATTACACAAGTGCGAGAACGAAATCTATTATTCTGTTTTTGCTGATTCTATTTCAAGAGTCCAAAGGAATTCAACAACAGCATTTCAAACTAGTAGTGTCTTGAGAGTAATAAAATCATAGTAGTAATACTGTATGGTGATATACAATTAAGATTACAAAAATACTGTATTTTCCTTTCCGGTAACAACTAATGTAAATTTTAGAGTTAATATAAAAATGTGAATAATTTTAATTATTAATTTTTTACACTAATAACTTTTAAATTGTTATTTTTCAATGTTACCTGTGTTTTTAGATTCCTTCTTTAGCCTAAATAAATACCTTTTTCTGAATGTGCATTTTAGTTAAAGTAAATGTCTATATTTGTAAAAATAAATTCCTTTTGACCCGTCTATTTTCGGGAAAATAAGTGCCGGAACTTCCGGGCTGTACTCCTGACATGTTCAACACAACCTGTTATATAGACTCTTTCTATGTTCTTAAATAATTTTTTATTGTTTCATTTATTTTCTTGTTTATACTACTTGTTTAAATTTACATTTGTAGTTGCTAAGAAATGATAATTCAGAACTTAACAGTTGTATTTTGAATGGTAGCAGTTACTTGAATATGCACAGTATATCTGGGCAAAACAAGCTATTTCTCCTCTTGCCCCAAGGTGTAAAAATTTGAGAAATTTAAATGCATAAGAGAAAGCTTCAGTGAGTTGTATTTAACTATTTGGGATTTGCTTAAACCAAAAAAAAAATTATAAGAAAAGTTTGTAGTCCCTCAATTATCAGATGTTATTAAATTGTAATAAAGATATTTAAAAACAAAAATTTTTGTAAATTTTGTTTGCTTTTTAATTAACCATGTCTTTAAAATATATTCTCTGTATTGTCAAGTATATCTTCACTTTTTTCAGGCTTCATTTTGTTGATTGTGATATCAGCATAATTTTTAATTTTGTTTCTCTGCAGCACATGCATTAGTTTTAACCACAAGAACATAATTTAATTGATTGATAGAAATTCATCTCAAAAGATGTCAAAGGAAATCAATTTAATGTTGGAAATATAACATTAATATAACATTGATGCACAAAAATTTGTATAACGTACAAATGCAATTTATTCATTGTAACATGTCTTTATAAATAATGTTTGGTGTTTTGTTTTTGAAAGTATTACAATTTCAGTTGTGTGGCTGACAAGTGAGTATGCCATATAATTGTCCCAAGTGAAACATTATGTGAATATCACTAAGGTCCTTTCACCAACTAGTTGAGAAGGAGGTATTTGTAGGGCAACAAAACTGCCATAATGTAAATGTAATGTAAAAAACTGGTAATGTAAATACAGTATTGGCAGAACCATAGGCAGTGACTGACAGTAACTGTGATCATAACTATTATGATTACAATTAAATGTTTTGTTCTGTTTTTCAAAGAAATTACACTTCCATCCTATGGTTCAAGCATATTTAAGTTGCAAAATGGCATTTTGAGAGCACCAGTCTTTATATCTACAAATATTTTGAAATAGGAAAGACCTCGTGCAGTCAGTGGCAGTTCCGAGAAGTCATTACCCCCTCCCCTCAAAACGGCCTAGAAAAAAACTTTTTTATTTGCCTAAATTTATTTTAAATTTATTTTGTTAGAATTATGTAATTATTAAAAAATATTGTATAGCATCGTATATACATTATAAAAATATACAATATAATAACATGTGTGTTGATTATTTAACAAAAACTCCATGATGTCCCCCCCCCCCAATTCATTGGCTGGATTGGTGTGCAATGATAGTGTTTATGAGTTCTGTTAGGTAATGTAATGCTTCATGTGCATTTCACATGGTATTTGTTGAGCAATAAGATGATGAATCACCAGGAATTTTTTCCAAATCATAAATATTGAAAATAGAACCTTTATCATCTCTCGGAGTCTTAGTACGTGATTCGCATAACTACGAAATTTTCTTTGAGTTTACATTTTGTTTATCGTCACCAATGTCACACATCAAAGTAACATATAACAAAGTATAATCTTGCAAAGCACTGTCCTTTTACACATTAATGCATCTTTTATGTCTTTCATATGCAATAATACTGCCTTTTGCATATTGCTATGCCATAATAGTTGTCACCTCTATGTGTTTAGTATTTTAGTCTATATGGGTATGCTAATACATCAAATGTATTATTTTACAATGTATTAACATTATAATGTAGTATACTAATACATTAAATAGCATAAAATCATTGAGTTAAAATTAATATTATTTCCCTTTTTGATTCTTGGTATAGTCTCTATCTGTACAGAAACAGTTGTGCAGAAGAAATAAAATTACTTCTCACTTACACTTGTGTGTTGATTTTGATTGTATTTTATCATTTGTAAAGTAATGTATGTGAATTTTTTGTAGTGAGTTGTCAATACTGACACCTGATGAATATGATTACAACATCGCATGTTGTAGTCATAGACATCAAAATTTGCTGGAAATGTGTTTCCACTCTTGAGAAAGTTATTTGTGACAAAAATCATTGACTCGTAAATCAAGAGGCAAGAAAATGGAACCATGTTGGTGGGGTGTGATTATTCATTCAATTATTTTCTGTAATCTAAAAGTGCAGTACCAGTAGGATGTATTTCCCCAGAATTTTATTCCAAATCTCAGATGAGAATGGTCATCGCGAAATATACACAACATGTAGGATGAAAGCTGTCTGAGTTTGAAAGAATTTTTAACGTGTTGCATAATGAAGTTCCTTTTGTGTTCAATTCATTTAAACTTCATTCCTTCATTCATTTCAGTGGAATTGGAAGGTCCAAAAATTGTTTTAACATCAGTTAATTGCACATGGTTTATTTCACAGGAGTATTAAATTGTTTATTTGTGAAACAACCAAAAATAACAGGATGGTGTACAGGATGTAATATTTAAAAGAAATGCTTCATATCTATACACATGTTTCAATGACTTGTAAGGTGATACATTTTACTTTCCCACATACTTACATATACACGGGGTAATATATTTAATATAGGAAAAGTTATGCAATGCTACGGAAATCGATTTCGAGATTTCAAAAGAAATTCACGTTTTAGGGTCCCCCTGATACCGAATAAGTGATCATTTTTCAGAAATGGCAAAAATGTATTTTTTTTTTAATTTTCTTTAAGCCGTTTATATTTACGTTAGCGGCAATTTGTTCACATGTGCTTTAAGTAATGTCACATAAGGAATCTAGAAAACTCAATAGTTTTCTATAAAAACTAGCTCAAAATTTCGCAATTTAAGAAGCGCTCAAACGCCATTTTTAAGAAGTGGCACCAATTTTTTCTTCAAACTTTTTGATCGGATAGTGCTAATTGCATTCTTTTATATGACGTGAAGTTCATTTCGAGGTAATTTTTTTTATTTTAAAAAAATTACACAAATGTATATTTTCTTAATATCTCTCACGCCGGTAATATACACATTTCCAGGAATTTATAAACACTATTGTATTTGTAAGTTAATGTGCTTCAAATAATTTCTTGTGAAGTATTTCGAAAACTCAAAACTTTTCTGTGAAAAAGTGCTTCAAATTTCGAATGTACTGTAGCGCTTAAGCGCCATTTTCTAACAAACGGTTCCATTTTTTTTAAAGAAAAGTTCTATTTAAGACGCGTTTTTACTGTTTATAATATTCTTAAAATAATAGTTCCGTTCTATTATTAGTAAATCGAAAATTAAGAATATTTCAAAAGAATTTATTGTAAGAGTATGTAGCAAGTTCGAATAGCCAGCAGAGACCAAAGGAAATGGAAAACTAATACGGGAAGATCTGTGCCATTCTGTAGCACCGTTAGTTGTATCTGGCTGTATTTAAAATGATGACATAATAATAAATTGTGACGTAAAGTGGTGCCTGAAGCACAATGGTTCCAGTCGGATACGATGAGCAGTAGATCACCCATGTCTTTCATCATGTGCCTAACTGCGGTTTAGACGCTAGCATTGATCACAGACACGTTTTGCCTTTAACCAATTTGTTGGTATCAAAGACCCCACATAAAATTAATTCTGACCACACAACTTTCTAGTGGAAGTAATTTAATACACATAGGAAAAAGAATAATTCACTTTTTCGATATGGGGGACCTGAAAAACGAGTCTTGCGTCAGAACATCGCCGCTTTTGTCACAGCATTGCAAGACTTTCCTTCACTGGGTAAGTAGAATCAAATACTATAGAGAGTAGTATTTGGTAGAATGTGAGAAAGTAAAGAATATTCTGAGAAGAGTATTTCCCCCGGCATAATGTAGAGCGTATTATGCAGTAAGTAGTTTAGTGGCTGGTCATGTTAGTTGAATTCCAATATGAATAGGTTTTCAATATTAAAACAATAATTCACACAACGGGGAATATCTTTACGGATAATTTAACAAAACCGAAGAAGTAATGTTATTTCTGTGAGTAATATTGGGTATTTGTGTATGTTCTGTGCAGGAGGAGTTGGAGCCCCCAACGGCAGTGTTCATTGAGCCAAATAAGTGCGAGAGAGATTTTTTTCAGGGAGAGGAGGTAAGGATAAGTCTGTACATTATGTTATGTATTTAACAGAACAATCCTACTTATGTTTGCATTATAAAATCAGTATTCAAATTATGTTAAGAAATTAATATTAGTAAGAAATTCCCTATGATTTGACTATATCCAACTAGTGGTGCGAAAACAGCACATACTTTCTCGTCCCTTAGTTACAGTTATGTAATAATATTACGCCACATTTCTGTCTATATCAACACCACTCAGTCAATGAGCGCTGACAACAAAGCGCGAAAGCAGGGATAGGCGCTGCCGACAATGGGCACATTTTCTTATCAATTCTTCCTAAAAACGCAATTTTTTCCATAAATCAAACTTTTTCAGTTTGCATTGTTGTGGTTTTATGAAAGTTATTCTGAGGCGTTCTTTATGGAATACTTCCTTGTTTTGAATACACACAAATATTTTTCGCCAAGATATTTATGACAAGGAAAACAAACCAAATCCGAAGCACAATCACAACCAAATGTCTCTAGACAGCACTGTTCACCAACACTCCGAAAGAGTCAATAATCCACGGCACTGTTCAACGTAGACAGCAGACAGTAGGATCGAAGTTTTTTTTTATTCCCTTCCTTTCGCCCACAGTAGATAAACTCGAACTCTTGTTTGTGGTTCATTGTTGCTTGTTACACAATAGACAAACTACCTGTATCACAGTCTATGGGGAGCCAATAGGGGGTCTACCTTGCAAAAGGTGAAGTAGATTTTTTAAATTTTTTTTAAAACGTTTATTTATATTGTTCTTAGTAAGAAAACTCTTAAGTTTTCCATCTCGAAATACTTTGGGATGCGTTTTCGTAGCAAAATAAACAAAAAATCGGGGATTTTGTGGTTTTTGCGTAATAATTTTTGAATGGTTGATCTCAGTGCAAAAATAGTTAAGTACGATTTCTAAGGTAATAAACGTCTCTACAGATTTTGTTTATAAATTATTTCTGTCAGGGAAACAGTAACAGAGCTACGAGATTTTAAAATTTCACCTAATTTTCCTTCTAAATTACTTTTTTCATTTTGGTTTTTTTGACGTCTTTGCTGCAGGATCCTCTTGCTCCATGCCCTGAAGGCGTCCCAACTTCAATGAACGAGGAGAATGGATTATGTTTCTCAGGTGAGTAAAATATATTCTTCGGATTAATGAATTTGTGGGCACAAAACTTATAGAGTTATTTACTGATCAATTTACAAAATAGTGGTTCCAAGTACTATCAACATACTATGTATAGCTATCAGCCAAAATACACTCTTCTTTCTAATCATATATAATTCGACGATTTTACTTGGGCTGTTTGATAATGTTCGGTTATTTGAGTTCACGAATTAATACGATAATTAGTGGCCTTATTATTTGTGGAAACTGTCTACTTTCATTAAAAAGGCAGCAATCCATTGAAAGGACCGAATAAAATTAGAATGTAGTTGACATTTCGTGGTGACGTAATGCCGCCTGCGCCGAAACGTGAGGAATAATAAATTAGAAGCTTCGGCATTTGCTCATTCTCACCTAAAATTAGGGAACAAATTTACGAGTTTCTCAACATCCCTTTCTCGTTTGCCTACTTAGTGGCGAGAGCGCGCAGAAGTTGGCAATGCCGCCCCCCCCTCCACACCCAAATGTCAACTACGTTATAATTTTATTCGTACTTTAACATTGTACTCTAGTGACACAACAGTGCGGTGTGTGTTACGAATACTCTCCACAAAAAGTTCGCACACTTGTATACAATTATCACAGAGAGCAATTATATCATCTAGACATTTCCTATTAAGATCCTTCTTTAGAAAATTGACTACTTCACTTCTGTATTTCCTACCATTGACGCTTCCATACAACTTCATCTTCCTGAATGATATACTTCAATATCCAGTAGAAAGCAAAACAAAAGTAAACTAATGCTACAGAATGGTACAGACTTTCTCGTACTAGTTTTCTAATATCTTTGGTCTGAGCTAACTTTTTGGTGCTGCCCGTCCTCATGCCATCTATCGCCACCAAAGTTCATTTTTTTAAAATTTTCTTAATTTTTCGATTTTCTAATGCTCGGACCGATAGATTACTTAAAGAATATTAAAGAAGAGTAAAACCTTCCCCTATAAGGCAATTTTCATTGAAAAATTTGGAGTCGTTTTTAAGTAAATGACATTTATGCTATAAATGCAAAATTTTCACAGAAATCGTAATTTTTTAAAAACTTAATTGGAAATCATTTGAAGTACTTTCAACTCACAAATGCAAATATATTTACAAATCACTGGAAATAAGCATATCAACGGCGTGAGAGATTTAAAAAAAATACATTTCTGTAATTTGCTAATCGTAGAACCGAAATATATTTTTCAGAATATTACAGAAGAGTGTATTTCACTTTGTTCTTACAAGAAAACATTTGCAGCCTTTTTGAGAAAATAAAGTAACGTTAAGTAAACTCTAAAAACGTAAAAGTAAGTTTGTAAACACTGTTCTGTGTCCCAGAGGATTCATGTCGAGCAACTCAAAAATTTAAACCTTTTCTTCTTTTTTTTCTTTTCAAAGTTGCAACGCTGTGAGTCGAACCAGATGAATCGGGAAATATCCATTTTGGAAAATATCCCTCGTATTGTTTGGGCGTTAGTGGTGTTCACAGACAGACAGCTTGAGAGTTTGGACAATAATTTAAGATACCCACTATTGACATGAGTGTTTCTGTTTCATATCACGTCACATTTTTTTACAACACAGTTTAAAAACCATTTTCATGAGTTGCAGCAGAATCGTACCAAGTGTGGCGTCGTTAACACGAGGGCCAGAACCGTTAGGTCGGTGAAAGTACGCTGCGGGGGAGGAA